GCCCACAACTCGGCCCTGTGGAAGCACTGCCGCGTGCTCGTGAATAAAACCGTGGTTTCAATACCCACGCATCGGGTTTTCATGATTCAATCGTTCACACCGATTTGACAGGCGAAAAAATCGGGTTTTTCCCACCCCTCGGTCGATACGGTCAACAACATTAGCGTAAACTACGGGTTGTTTGGGCAACAGAGTGCAGATTGTCCACCTCAGCGGGTTGGGAGGTTGCCATATCGAGGAAACGTGGGATGCGGTGGGGCGAACGATGTTGAGTGGAGGGGGGCGTTGCAACTTGGGCGGGGCGTCCAGGCGCTGTACAGATTACGTATGGGAATATACTCAGATTGTAGGGGGCTGGAACAGGGCCAAGGGCGGGCGACGTGACGTGCCAAGCATGCAACCTGACGAGAGCCGTTGACAGGCGAGCGGCCGGGCATGGAATCGGAAAAACGTAGTTGCCACTCGGTCCAGTCGATGCGCCAACGTCGACGGCCAAGTATTGTGCGCTGGTCGTCGCATCGAGCTTGATGGAAGAGCAACGGACGTTGACCACGTGGCCAGCACCACATTCGTCATGCCGTCGTCGACCACGGATTGTTCAGGCACACCAACAAGCCATCAGGATAGCACCCCGTCGAATTGTCCGACTTTGCTGTATCGTGTGTCCTTTCTGTACGGTAAAAGGCCGGCACGACAGAGTGCAGTTTGCCATTAGCCGGCACGGCAAAGTGCAGTTGGCCAGTTCGGTGAGCGAGTTGGGGCACGAATTGAGACCTTTGTCGGTGCCCCCGACCCGGCAACGAACGCACATGACGGCCGCCGCGACCGGCGTCCAGCTCGTTCGCGATGGCGGGGCGTGCGACAGCAACGGCGTGTGTTGGTCGACATGCTGCTCGCTGCGACAGAACGTGTGCATCTCGAACGAGTCGTCGTCGTTCGTGGCCGACAACGCCACGGTGGCATGTCTCGTGGACCCGCCGACGGCAACCAACCCGTCCTGTACGTCCCATTGCGTGTGCCGGCCACGAAGCGATGTTGTGGTGTGTAGATGCGCCCGACGTCTCTCAAAACGAGACGTTTTACATCAGTGTTGGCGTCGGCGCCGCCGTGTCGATCGCGGTCCTTGTCGTGTTTCTGTGGCGCGCGACCAGGGCCGCCGCCACGGACAAACATGTCGACATGTCGTCGACCGATGTGGCCACGATCCACGGAAGCGACCGCCCGCCCGTGCGGTTGCAGCGAGTACGTTGACGAACGATCGGTGACGAATCCTGACTGTGTCCACGAGCAGCACGGCGCCACGGCCTTGACGTTTTCGGACGCCGACAAACAAATCCTGGACCCGTACCGCCTCGACAGCTCCAAGCTCGAGCTCAAAGTGTTGCTGGTACACCCCCGCATCGCACGACCGGGTCTCACGTCGTCTACTAGGCCACGGGTGGATACGGGACCGTCTGGCGCGGGCAGTACGACGGCGCTGTCGTTGCCGTGAAAGTTTTGTTTGACGGCCGCAAGTCCGCGGCAGGTGTGTCGAAATTCATCGCGGAAGTCGCGCTCCTGGCCACGCTCGTGAATCCGTACGTTGTGTCGTTTGTCGGGGCGAGCTGGACAACCGTCGAGTCGCTGGCCCTTGTTGTCGAGTACATGGATTTGGGCGACCTGTACGACTACCTGCGCACGCACAGCGCGGTCGAGTTTTCGTGGACCGCCAAGCGGCGATGCGCCGCCGACATTGTTCGTGGCCTTGTCTACTTGCACGACCGCAACATCATCCATCGCGACGTCAAGTCGAGGAACGTTCTGTTGGACACGGTCAAGCCGTCCAAGTTGTCCGACTTTGGTGTGTCGCGGGAAATCTCGTCCAAGACCATGTCACAAGAGGTCGGGACGTATCTGTGGACCGCGCCCGAGATTCTGCGGGGCGACCGGTACACCGTGTCGGCCGATATCTACAGCTTGGGTACGTCGGTCGGTCGCGCTGGCGTGTTGAATGGTGGACAACGCTGTGGCATGGCTTTGTGTACGGACCCCCGCAGCAACCGATGCCGATGGGTCCCGCATCGGTCGGTGGTAGCGGGTTGTGTACATGCTGATGTGTAGTATAGGGTGTGGCTGACTGCATGCCGGTATTGCCGTCGACGTCACTCGTGTTTCGTGTGTAGGAGTATTGCTGGGCGAGCTCGATTCGCACCAGCCTCCGTTTTACAACGTGACGATAGAGGACGGCGGGCCGATGCTGGGCGTGTCGATCATGATGCGAGTGATGCAAAACCAGCTCCACGTCGACGTGTCGCCGCAGTGTCCCCCTCGGATTGCGTCCCTGATTGACCTGTGCACGGGCCATGGCCCGGCCCAACGGCCGACGGCGGCGCAAGTCCTGGGCGCGTTGGAAGCGTGGGTCGTGGACACCGTCAGGGGCAACGACCTGGATCTGTGCCGCACATAGCACACATTGTGCCTGTTAACTTAACCGTATTCAATTATTCCACCGAGACCTCTTCTGATGACCTTAGCAAGTGGCGGACTCCCGATGACTTGCTTGGCCACGAATGCGTTGGTCGGCGCGCTTGAACGGACTCGCGCGATCGTGTTGCATGGCGTTTTCCAGCGACCAAACACCGCGACCTTTCGATTTGTCGTCGCTTCACGAATGTCGCGCATGGACTCGAGCGGGGGCACTGCTTGGCTAGCTCGACGATGACGACCCTCATGTTGCCGACACGTGATGGACATCGAACGTCCCGAGGCAGATATATGGACGTAAAAGTCACATGGACACTGGAAGTCGAGGATTCCCATCCAAACACGTGATGCGGTGGCTTCGAAGGCTGCATGAGCTGACGACGTCCTTGTTGGCTCCCATCTGTGCACACGGACGTCATTGCCACTCTTCCTTTCATGGGGGATGGCGCTCCGGTCGTCCATTCGCTATCGCACGTCACTTTGCGACAGTCCGATCAACTCTGCGTAAAATATGTGCCATGGTGCCTCGACTGTGGAAAACATAAACGTGGAGATCTGTTTTAGATGGTTAAATATGGGCCTCGGCGGGGGTGACGGTCATGCGAATCGGGGCTAACGACGACTGCGATTGACATGGGACCGCTGCGGTCGAAGGCACGGCGGCCGTCTTGCCGTCGACGGGGTAGTACCTATCGCATTGGGCGACCGGAGGGTATGAAACAAGGTAAGCCGGAAGTCGGGCCGCGAGCGCATCCAAGAATTCGACTTTCTCGTGCGATCGGCACACTTTGCCAATGCGGATGACACGGCCTTGGTACGTGAACCCGAGCGCCCCATTCGCGTTGATCTGGATAGGGCCCATCGTGGCCGTGTCAAACTTGGCCGAGCCGCCAAGGCCAGTGCCTGGAATGCCCCATTCGTACGTCAACACCGCCCCAGCCAAGGTGAACCGTTCGAAGCCATACAGCAGCCACTGCACGCCAACAAACACGGTCATGCTTGCTGTGGATGCGACGCAGATGCCAACAACGAACAGTGGCAACGGCATCGAGAACATCGTGAGCATCCCAAACGCAATGGCGGTCCCAATGGCCACGAGGAAGGCAACGCGAGCGGGGGTGTAGTAGACCCGCATGGTTACCTCCACTTGGTCGTTGGTCGCCTCAACAAACACGCGATCCGACAGCATCTTGGCGAGATTTTTTGGCAAGTGAAGGCCACCATGTCGCGAACCCAACTTTGCGACCGGCGAATTCCAACATGGAGGGTGATGGGGCATCGGTATTCATTTTGACAGTCTACCTTACGAGTCAAGATCGAGATGTACAACGAGATGCAGTATCGTGTTGTAGAGGTATGTACTTCCAGAGGTTTTCTCGCTTTGTACTCCGAACACTCGATAATTCTCAGGCGCAGGCGCTGACGCCACCGTGCACGACGAACCCGAGATCACCACCCGGAGAAGGCGGCGCCGCCGTCGTCGCCGGTGCTGGCTGTGCGCCAAACAAGCTTTATCCACGTTGACCCAGCTTGGAGCGGTAAAACGAACGCGCAGTGACAAGGCGCCGCGCAGGGCGATGGGGTTGTCCTGTCGGGGTGTGCCCGAAGTCCCGAGGACCAACAGCCGTGACGACCACGAGTGAGTAGGAACGACGATGGCGAACCCTCATGTGTTTGGGGTGGTGGGAAAATGTCTGCGAAATCCTGCATGCAAAGGCACAGATCCATTGCAGCCCTTGTTGGGCACACGGTCGGTGGGTGGTTTGGCGCGGCGCATTCCACCCATGCATCTTGGGTCAGATACGCAACCAAGGACAAGAAAACATGCGGCTGGAATACTACTTCGCGCACTGTAAACGACATTTGCCTTGGCCAGGGATCGTCGCAAGCGGACGACTACATAGGCACGTGAGGCCACAGCGCTCCAGCACCGACGCAGTTCTCGAAAGGACCTTGTTGTTGGGATGCGATGCCACCTTCGCCGCGAACCACTGCCGCGATGGGTTGACAGTACCGTAGCCTAGCGGTGTGGGGCCTCATCCACCAAAGGTGGGCAAACTGCCGCATGAAGCGTACGACAGCGGGCTCTGCTCGGCCATAAACGGATCAACCTGCCACCGAGTTGCCATTGAGGAAGGCGGTCAGCGAGCCACAGCACACGGTGATCTGCGGCCGCTGGATCGATGGTTCGTAACTCGACACGGTCGCAAATCTCCACGAGGCGGTGCTGCCAGTTCACCCGCAGGAGTGCCAATTTCGCCACGCTGTATAGCCTGCTCGAGGACAGTGGGGCCGCAATCGACGGGAAGCCCTTGGACGGTGCCCCTCAGACTTTGGTCTGACCAGGTTGGAATGCCGGCATTGATTGGAAGCCCATTCGGCCAATCCTGATCTAAATGCAGTCATGCTTTGCCGCACGAGTCGTGATCTGGCCAAGAGTGCTCGGGATGCCAAGGGGTCTCGACCAGCCAAGACGGGGATATCGATTCCGGCACTCTTGAAGCCGCGAACGAGTGGGGTCTCGGGAGGGATAGTCCAGGTCGGCGTGCCACCCACCGAGGCTAGCATGGCCTTGGTTTTCCCCCCGCTGCGTGCGGCAATCAGAGTTGTTGCGTGCAATAATCGCGCCCTGCCATTGGCTTGGTCGATGGGTTGGAGCAGGATTCGTCGGGCAAGGCCATTGGGTGGCTTCGTTCGGGGCTACCACCTGGGTCAAAATCAGGCCGCGAGCCCGCCGTCGTCCTTTGGCATGACGTGAACGCCATCGCAGCCATCGCCTTTCAAAGTCCCGACCAACGTGGCCGCGACGAGACCACGGCTAGCTGTTTGGAGCAGCATTTGTACACGACAACGACGTTGGGGTGTTCATTTTTCGTTTCGTCTCATGGTCCACAGGACTCCTCAAGGCTTCTGGGCCGACTTGTACAACGGCGAAGCCAAGCCCGGCAACCTCACCGACTCGAACGGCGTCTCGATCCAGATCGACGACCTCAACCCGATTGTCCTCGTCCTCCTGTCAGCGTACTGGTGTCCTCCCTGCCGCGCGCTCACGCCCAGCCTCGTCAAGTTTGCCGACGACAACCAAGACCAAGTGTCCGTCGTGTACTTTGGCCGGGACATCAACTCGACCATGCAAAATTTCAACTTGAGCACCAAGCCGTCGTACAACCGGTACGAGTGGTCGGCCGCGAACGTCAACGTGTTTGCTCAACTCAAGGCAGCGTACCCGTCAATTTTGGGCATCCCGACTCTGTTTGCAGTCGATCGCGACACCGGCAAGGTCCTGTCGGAGCGTGCGGCGGTCAGCATCCGCTCCCGCACGGCAACCGTCATCGAAGAGTGGAAGCGCGGCGAAGACATCACGGACGAAGAAGCCAACGCGTGGTGGGAAACGACTCGAGGCGACTTGCCGGACGTCGACATTTTGCCGCACTTGCCGCTCGAGACAGTCGTCGACGCCAAGGGAAACCCTGTGTCGTTCGACAGCTTGAACCAGTTTGTCGTGCTTTACTTTGGCGCCAAGTGGGCCCAAACGGAAGACGCGTTGACGCCTGCGGTCGCAACCTTTGCAAGGGAAAACGGTGACGATGTCAGCGCGATTTACTACAGCTTGGATGTCGAAGAAAGCGACGCGGACAAGGTCGTCGCCGGCACGGACCTCCTTCGGTTCAAGTGGAGCCAAGACTTGGCCAAGACGCTGTACAACATTGACAAGATTATGACCAAAGACAACGACCGCAACACCCTCGCCGCCCCCCGTGTCTTGGTCTACGAAAAGGCCACCCACAAACTCGTTGCGCGCCACCAGTATGGCATCTTGATCAAACCGACCGAGGTCTTGGCCGCATGGAAAAACGGTGAGAGCGGTGTCTCGGACGACGAAGTCAACGCGTGGGTCCGCGCCAAGCGCGCGGCCGACCAGGAGAAGAAGGAAGCTGCTAACACGAAAGCGGAAGAAGCCGCCAAGTCCCAACCCCCAGCGTAGAATCTACTAGTTTAGCATTGTCTCCAAAGCTATCAATGTGCATCGATGTCAAGTAGTA